TGTTCTCCTAGATGCCAAGCCTGTGTTGCCTGTGAAATGGAGTAAAGGCTGGTCTTGTCTATAAACCATGCATCCCGCAGAGCCCAGGCCACAACACTTGCCTAAAGGCAAGGATGACCATGAAGACCCAGCCATGAGGACGAGGGGAGAAAATGGTGTGAAGGCATTTGAAAACATGGGCCTGCTTTCCAGATGTGGGTCACTGAAGGTCCAGTGTACTCTCTTTACTGTGTGGCCTAGATTTAGGGTCACTGTGGATAGATTTGTGGACAGGGGAGCTGGTGACCAACAGGAAGCACTGTATTGTGGTTGGGAGGCTCCAGAATCTTTGTGTGCACGCGTGTGTGTGTATATGTGTGTGTAAAAAGATTATTTTAATAAGTAAAAATGGCTAAGCTTCCAAAAGTTCTTAAATGGGCTCAAACCCCAGCACTGCTATGTTTTGTTGTTATAATGGGCAAGTTGCTCAATCTCCCTGGGCTTCAGTTTCCTCATCTATAGAATGAGAACAATAATACCTATTTCACTTGGTTGTTGTATTAAATAAGCTAATTCTTTTTTTTTTCTTTTTTTTTTCTTTTTGCGGTACGTGGGCCTCTCACTGTTGTGAGAGCACAGGCGCCGGACGCGCAGGCTCAGCGGCCATGGCTCACGGGCCCAGCCGCTCCGCGGCATGTGGGATCTTCCCGGACCGGGGCACGAACCTGTGTCCCCTGCATCCACAGGCGGACTCTCAACCACTGCGCCACCAGGGAAGCTCCTAAATAAGCGAATTCTTACAAAGCACTCAGAACAAATTTTTGACAAGAAGCAAGCTCCCAATGAGTGTTGACTATTATTGCTAGTATTATCAGCAATGTTATTATCCAATAAGGGAAGGGATCCATGGGTGATTTTATGTGAGGGTGGGTCACATAAGCCAAGCACTATGGACTTTATTTGGGAGGGAGTGTGCTTGGTTGAGAGAAACCAGTCTGGCCCTTTAAGGTGCAGCCACCTTGGAAGCTCTTCTGTTGGGTAGACATGATTTGAACGTCATGGTCAAATGGTGAGGCTGTCCCCACGCAGATGCCCTCCTGGGAAGAACAGTCCATCCACTGGATGCAGAAGTTTTCATGCAGGATCAAAAATACAGAAACCATTGAACTAACCAAGCTCACTCCAGCCTCGGAATTAACCCCCCTCAGGTGGGTCCTGTGGGACAAGGCCCCTTTGAAAGCTTTCTTGTGCTATGTGTTTTGTGTGTCTAAGAGATTTGGGTGGCTTTTTCTTAAGGGCCGAGGGGTCATTTTGCAGCATCTGCCCCTTGATTTAAGTGCAGGCCACCACTGTGACCTTCTGCCCCTGTCCTTACCTTCCGGTTACCCACCCTGGTCTCTGGTAGCCTCAGGCCCAGCTTGGCTCTCCAGCTTTCCACGGATGGTGGATCTTCAGCTGGTCTTGGATCTGGCCACGCTGCTGCTCTAGGGTGACAAAGATCCTCTCCTTGACCAAACTCTACTCAGTCTCCTCTGAATTCTCTTCTCAATCAGGCCCTAAACTTTGGGCTTCTGTGTTCATCTCTTCATGGTCCAGGTTTAGCAAGAATCCTGCTAGGTCAGTTTAGCCAGAGTCCCTCCGCTCCGCCCTCCCCAGCCCTGGTGCTTTCTCTTAGTAATTTAATAACCACTCATCCCCACCCTGCTCCTTGGCTATAAATTCCCACTTTTCCTTGCTGTACCCAGAATTGAGCCCAATCTCTCTCCACTAACACAAACTCATTTCAGCAGCACCCCCCATCCAGAATAAAATCTGCTTTACCATCTTTAACTGTCATGAATAATTTTTCTCTGATGGAGGTTTCTGAGTTCATTCTGGGAGAGCCAAGATTTGCTGTAGATCATGGTGCCCTAACTTACAGGTACAAATCATGGGATGGGCAACAGATCTAGCACAGTCTTTAATAAGCAGTTAGTAAAGTAAGATCAGGGGAGACAGCCAGGGAATTCAAGAGGACTCTTAGCCTTTTCTGCCCTTGTTATCTCCATGTTTGGTATTTTTAGGTGCAATCACTGTTTAATGAACTGACCAATCAATATCACTGTGGCCTAAATTATGTGCATGATGTTTTTTTTTTTTTGGTTTGCTCGCTTACACTCCCTCTTTGTTTCAAAAAAGGGTCTGAGGTGACTAGCTTGTCTGTGTAGTGCCGAAAATGAAGATAGAAATGGAAAACTTCACTCAGATTCTGGAATATGGCCGTGTGTTTAAATGCTTGCCTTTGTGAATCAAGGCAAGGAGTTGGTTGACTGGATTTTTAAAAAAACTAGTTGTGGTGTTCTGGAAACACGGCCTAAGGCTTTTGACGAGGATGCAGCCTGCGTGTGCATGTGTGTGCACATGTGTGTATTTCTGTGTAGAGTGTGTGGGCCGGAGCTGATGAAGCAGAAAATGAAATGGCAGAAATGCCTGTGCGCCTTCTCTGGGCCACAGGTGCTTTATTTCATTTACTCCTTGTAACAAACCGAGGAAGCAGCTATTATTATTATTACACAAGAGGAAACTGAGGTGAAGAAAGGCGAGATAGTCCCCCTCAAGCTCCAATACCAAGTAAGAGAAAGAACTGTGACCCAAACCAGGCTGTGACTCTGCCGGCTGGGCTCTTTCCACTTGGAGAAGTGGGGGGTCAGAAGAGAGGAAGAGAGCTGGGTAGGGATGGGAGTGGGAGGAAGGAGAGAAGACACCCCTGGGACAGGTCTAAAAATCCTGGAGAGCTATAGAGTGAAGTCTGAGCCATGGTGCAAACTCGGCCCCCGCTACCCCTGACTCTCAGACAGCTTACAGTCTGCAAGTCTGCTCTCTCCCGTCCCCTACTCCTTCTCTCCCTTCCTCTTCCCCCTCTTTGCCTGCCTGCCAAGAGGACTATTTGTCCGATGTTGGAATCTGCATCTCACGTGTGTGGAACTGGGCTCCCACGGTGTTGGTAGACGTCGGGACTCTGCTTAGGGGCTGCTGCCAGGGCAGGGGGCAAGTGCCCCAATCCCTGTCCCGAGCTGGGTTACCTGTGGGAAGGTGCCCGGGCCACAGGGGTGGAGCGGGGTTGGAGCGGCTGCTCTGCCTGAGGCAAAAGGCTCCCAGCATCTCGGTGCAGCCAGCCTGCATCCATCTGCCTCATTTCCTGTGCATCCTCCAGCACGGCAGTGCAGACTCTTGGCTGGGGACGGTTGGTTCTCCTCTGCCAGTCACCGGCGCTCGACAGGAGTCATCCAGATGTAGCTGTGACGATGTGGCTTTCATCTTCCTCCGAGGAGGCCCCGTGGGAGGGAAACCCCCTCTCTCCCCCTCCAGCCCACATCTCTCTTCCCCGACGGCACGCTGTCACCCAGGAGGGGAGGCCCGCGAGCTCGCTCCTGTCCGCCACTTCCCTGGGCTGGGAATCTCTGCAGAACCTTCGTGCCCCACCCCTCCTGAGCAAAGAGCCAAGCCAGGGTAAGCCTGTGCATATAGGGCCTCAATTTGAGATCAGATTCACAAATTTAATTTCCTATTCCTTAATTTAATTCTGCATATAAGTTTTGTTTTTATTATTTACATGGGTTCCCTTTAATGATTCCAAATTGCTGCTGCCCTCTAGCAGTATTTTGTCTTAGGTTAACTTCTTGAAAACCGATCAGCGTTGGAGTTTATTCCGCGCTGGGTTTAGTTATTTTCTGAAACGACGCACAATTAAATTAGAATAATGAACATGCTCTTTAGAGGATTAATTCATAATAAGCAGGCCATGTGCTACAGCTCACAGAAGAAAGGGCACGAGGACCGAAAGCTGGTTTTTTCTGCCTAAATACGAAAAGTACATTCTGCAGAGCAGAACAAATCAGCTAATGACATCCAGAGCGCGGGCCAGCCCCAGAGCGGCACAGAGCTGGCATCTCGAGTTAGCGCAATCCCCGCTGATGCCTCTGCCTACCTTCTCTCCCTGAGAAGGCTGGCAGTGGGTGAGCTGCCCGGCTTCTTTCTCCTCTGTACAGCTGATAGAGGTCAGTGTGGACCTTCTGAATTCGACCCCAGGAAGCCCCAACTTCCACAGTCTGTGGTTTCACAAGCTTTACTCTCGGAGCTTCCCAGAGCCCAGTCATTCATTCATTCTTACATCCAAAGAATGCTTTACTGAGCTCCTCTTATGTACCAGGCATCCATGGGTACCCCCTTGGGATACATCAGTGAAGAAAACAGACAAAGACCCCTTGCTCTTCTGGAGGTTGCATTCCAGCCCTCGGAGACAGACAATAGACAGTAAAAATAATCAGAAAATTCTATAGTGTGTTAGAAGGTGATAAATGCCAAGGAGTAAGGGGGTTGAGAATGGTGTGTACGCACGCGCGCGTGTGCGCGCGCGTGTGTGTGGTTTGCAATTTTAAATATGATGGGTCAGGGTAGGCTCCTGGAGAAAGTGCCAGTTAAGCAAAGACTTGAAAGAAATGAGAAGTGAGTCACTTTCAAGAGCGCCCCAGGGGTCAAGAGTATTCCAGAGGAAAAGGCTGGAAACAACTTAGGGCAAAAGTGTTAAGGTCAGAGTGTGGCTGGTGAGTTGAGGATGGACAAGGCCAGTGGGGCCTGAAAAGCGGGAGTAAGTGAGATGTGAGTGGGACCAGATCCTCTGGGGCCTGGGCTTCTGTGCTGAGTGAATGGGAGGCCATGGTGGAGACTTGAGCAGAGCGGGACATGATCTGACTCACGTAAAAGGGTCTCTGGCTGCTGGCTGAGAAGAGACTTTCTGGGGTGAGGGGGGGTGGCATGGGTGGAAGCTGCCAGACTTGTCGGAGGCTAGCAGCTTAGGCCTCTAAAACTCTAGCCCCAGGTTGCCCCATTCCATGCTCTCTGGACCCCAGCAAAGTGCTGAGCCCAGGCCTCATAGCCAGGCCTGGAGGCTGAGTCTCCTGCAGCCCCCTGCCTCCCAGAAAAGCGGTTTTCAAGCAGCTGTGAGGCAAGTCTAAAACCGTTATTCTTTTTTGGCCCTGAAGATCCCTCTGCAGCCCCTCCCCACCCCTCCACTGACCCATGGACCAGGAGGCCGGAGCCTGCAATGGAAGGGCACTTCCAGGCAGGGACAGCTTTACACTGTCCCTTTGGTTGTCTCAGGCTCCTCTGAGAGGGAGATACCCTCTCATCCAGGTAATTGACAAAGTGACATCAGAAGGCCTCTGCTGAGCAGCTGCCCCAGAAACAGGGGACAGATCAAAGTAGGAGAGGGCCAGCATCTGCAGCAACTGAAGCAAGGAAGAGGTACAAACAAACGGAATGAATACATAAGCAGATGAATGATTGATGGGGGGTATGAATGATTAATGAATAGATGAATGATTGATGAGTAAACCAGTGTATGGCTCAGAGCTAGTGCCACCTCTCTGCTCTTTGGGTACCGTCTCTCTTGGGAACCGAGGAATAAAGATCCTCCCACGGCCATCGCCTCTAGAATTCCCTGCTGGAGTTGGGATTGCACTGCTTCTGTCCCCAGAGGCAGTGGAGGCTTTGGCGCCTAACTGGGGCTGCAGACGCGGGCTGGGGGAAGGAGGCCAGAGCTACTGGGACTGGGATGGAAGATGCCTGGGGCAGCCTGTAGGTTCTGAGGCAGGAGAGCTCTGAGCATCTCATAGGAGGGGAAGGTGTGGGGAAAAGAGGGTGTTTTAAAATGTAGGTTTTATTATTATTCAGGTATGGTGAGGCCAACAGGTCAGGGGATCAGGAAACAATTGTCATTGAAAAGATACTTTGTTATACTCATAGGATCCCAAGAGAAAGGGTCAAGCTACACCATAGTGGGGGAAACACTGGGAAGCACCAGGGTCAGTCAGGAGGCAGAGAGAATTAAGGGAAATGTGGGAAAGAGCCCTCTTTTTTAAAAAAAATTAATTAATTTATTTTTGGCTGCATTGGGTCTTTGTTGCTGCGCAGGGGGCTTTCTCGAGTTGTGGCGAGCGGGGGCTACTCTTCGTTGCGGTGCATGAGCTTCTCATTGTGGTGGCTTCTCCTGTTGCGGAGCGTGGGCTCTAGGCACGTGGGCTTCAGTAGTTGTGGCACACGGGCTCAGTAGTTGTGGCTCGCAGGCTCTAGAGGTCAGGCTCAGTACTTGCGGCGCCCAGGCTTAGGTGCTCCACAGCATGTGGGATCTTCCCAGACTAGGGCTCGAGACTGTGTCCCCTGCATTGGCCGGCCGGATTCTAAACCACTGCTCCACCTGGGAAGCCCCTGGGCAAGAGCCTTTATCGTGGTTTCCGCATCAAGGAATGGGCAGGCGGGGCAAGCAGATTTAGGATTGGCTAGTTTGAATAACTTCAGCAGGTTCTAGTGCACAGGGGCCGTCCCTAGCTCTCTGAACCCTGGACCTGGGAGGTTAGGGCTGGGGATATTGCTTTGGACTGTAAGAGACCTATAAAGGAGGTGGCTGACAATTTGGACTCTGGATTGGTTGGTTTGCATATAAAAGGTGTACCAGCAGGTGAGTCTCTTACTATCTCTAGGAATTGGCTAACGCTGGCAGGAACAGTCCGTCCAGTGTCAGCAAGACCACAGAACAAAGCATCAAAACTACAGAGAATAAAAGACACGCTTAGTGCAGAGGGAAAGGGGAGAGATTTGGTTTTTCCTTTCGTAGCCCCACACTAGACATTCTACAGATACCGGGCCTTGGATTAGTCTCATTCTAGAGCTTGTTAGGATAGAGAAGTCCATTTCAACCGAGTGTGTGACTGCATCATTTCAACAGGCAGGAAGATTTTGGTGACTGAAATTTCCAGAAACTTCTCTTGATGGGGCAGGCTGATGATAACTCCTGTTCAGGCCTAGATAACCTCTCCACTGCACTGGCACCACCCGGACACTTGATGTGCCCTACTTCCAGAAGCTCTTGTCTCCTGGTGTGGCCAGGGGAAAAGAGCCCAGGTGTCTTCCAGGGGAGAAATGCCCTGGGTGGGAGGGTTTGAGGAGGCAGTGTCTGGAGATGCTGGGTCTCAGGGTCCTGCTCAAGTTTGGAGGAGGGTCTTGCCAGGGGATTCCCAGGGACTCTAGACTGTGAGTTGGGGGTTCAAAAGACAACTCAGAAGCTCTACTTGATTTTTCTGAGCTTGAATAGATGATCAAAATAAAGGCTCCCATTTATTGCAAGCTTATTAAGGGCTAGATGTTGGGCTAAGAGCTTTGCAGTTCTATGTCATTTAATTCTCTTAGCCACCCCGGGATGTAGACTTTTTACCCTCATTTTACAGACCACACTGAGGTACTGAGAGGTTAAGTGACTTGCTGGCAAGTGGTAGAGGCAGGAGTTGAAAACTGAAGGAACTTTTCCTGGAGGCCTCTTCTAACATCCCCACTGATCTTTCTTCACTCCCCTGACCCGGTGCTTCTTAACCCTTTGGGGGCTGCAGGGCCCTCTAAGCACGTGATGAGCGTAGCGTCGCTTCCCAGAAAGTGCACACTTTGCATTTTGCACATGTTTATCTCCCAGGCAATTTCAGGGGCCCACAGGCCCTCCTGAAGCTCACGAACCTTGCTTTTGGCATTTGCTTTCTGCAGTGACTGTTTCTCTTTCTCGTAACCCTAGGGCACAGGGCAACCTTCTGGGCCCCAAAATCACTCCAGTGGGGAATGGAATCAGACAGGACAGGTTAATCAATGAAAGCTTGCGGCATGCTCCTTCCATAATTGCATTCCTGCCTTTTCATCCCAGCAGCAAGCACTTAGGGTAATTGCATTCCAATAAGGCTCCCAGATTTGGGGCCTCTGGGGCCTGCCCTGGAACCTGTTGACATGCCACCTGCTTCCAGAGGGGTTCTGGAGACCAAGACAGCCTTTTAAAATTCTTCTCTGTTGTCTTTGCGCTAAGAGAGACAAAGAACTCTGTAACAGATCTTGTCCAAAATTCCACTTTCTTAACCCACCCACATCAGCCCTGGAGCCAAGGAGCCTTCCTCCCTCCCTGGCTGTCTTTCTGAAGTCAAAAGAGCAGCACCTGTCATTCCAAGTAGATGACCTTTGGAAACACCTGGCTTCGGAGCAGGGTGACTGCCACCCGGCCGGCGGCTTGGAACCTGCTCAGGACTAAAGGATCGAAGGTCTTGGGCGCTCCCTCAGGGGCTGGGCCTTGTGCTGCCTCAAACACCCCACTTCACTCATTTGTTCATAAGATTTATCGGAACCTCCCTAAAAGACTCCTCTTTGCAAAGAAAACCCACCGTACAGGAAAGTAGGGAATCCCTCAAGAAACAGGGGAGTTTCATGAATCCAGGGAGTCTCATTTCCAGAAATAGAACTTCCTCTAAAAAAGGTCCACGTGTTCTCCAGGCACCACGAAGTCCATACAATTAATGGGAAAAGTGCAGGGTTCAGGATGATTTGAGTTTCACTCTTT